CAATACAAGGCTTGTGTCTTAAAGGAGAACTATGAGGTGAGTGATTTTCACTCAACCCTAATAGTTCGAGCCGATGTGTGACAATGAAACTGTCACACGTCGGCTCAATGGATCGGGAAGCGAGTGAACACATACAGTCGCTCGCTCACTTCTCGATTCTGTCCCTGCAGAGAGCTGTGGCTGTCACTCATGGCTCCCTGCAGGGATTCCTCCCTCCCCGCTCTGATCCTCCAGCGCTGACTGGCGGAACTGACAGGGGGGGGGGGGGACTTTTACACCTGGCTCTGCCTCTAGATAGGCAGAGCCAGCTGTCAATCACACAGCTGGGTGGATCTCGACAGTAATGTCGGGATCCGTCCCGGCTGCGGTGGTCTCAGTATACCGCAAGCTACGCTTAGGGTCACGGGAGAACGCTAGTTTGTGTCCTCCCCTGACCCTTAGGAGAACTATGGGGAAAAGCACTGACCCCATAGTTCTCCTTTAATACTGCTATATGTATTTTAACAGAAAATCGATAATTCTGCTTCTGGACACTTTTACAGCTAATTGTCATGCTGGTTATCTTCCATTTTGCAAAATAAAACTCTACGCAGAGCAAGTTGCCTAGCAAGACAATTCGGGATCCAATGGGATTTTCTCCAAACAGGGTCAAACACAAGGGTAGCTAAACGAGATGGCCCCAGCTCCAGTGCCAGAAGGCAATCTGTGCTGAACTTAATGGACTTTAAAAGGTTACAAAGGTTCGGCTTCTTACTAGGATTCAACCTACGACATCAGTGATATGCTTTCACTAATCAGCATTTTTATGGGAAAGTACATTTCCAACCTCATTACGATTAGGGTAATAAAAAATTAAAATGATTGACAGTGATACACGATGGACAGTCCTGATGTTCTCTATTCTTATCATTTATTAAAGACATAACAGGCTTAACTGTGCAATATTTTAGGAGAAAAATGAAAAGTTAAAATGAATCAAGGAGATTTTCATAAAATGATAAATGAAAACACTAGATTTTAAAATGTTCCAGCGCAAAATGCACATCCCCAAATGACCTGTGAAAGGTCATAGAGAACATTTTACAGGAACAGCAGTAATGCCACAAGACATATAACTATAACTGGTAAATATAACAAAGTTCTGGAGGGTGCCCCACCCCCGAATGTGTTAGACCAATTCATTCCATTATGCTTTAACATAGTCTTACAGTAATATCCTTATTGAATCTTTGAAACATGCTGTAACCTGCAGGGCCAAACGACTAAGGAATCCATTTATAAAAGGTCAAAATCCATATCTAGCCCTTTCATTTGTGGAATACATTGATTCTAACAGTCCTGCCTATTTATAAAGCTGCTTAGGGCAATTTCTGCACAATTTTGTTCTTCCATATTTCACAAAACGTGAAAAAATTAGCAAAAATTAATTTGTTTATAAACTTCACCAATTTGTAAAGACATTGTTCGATAAACCGTTTCCTGCTAAATTATGACATCCTTAAAAAAGACACTGACACCATGGTCACTTAGGGCTAAGTGATACTGTCTTTGCAAAGGGCCCCCCACCGATACCCACCATGCCAGCGTTCCCCTACTACCCTGTTTTCTGACACAGCCAGTGACAATACCTGTTTCTGGGTATGGGGGACTATATTAACTCCTCCCAAGTGACAGTTCTTGAGTCTAGCAGCCAATGGTTAGGCCCAAGCACTGTCAAATGACCGAGGGAGTGATGTCACCACTCACCCTAGCGTCTAACACCAGCCAACACTAGGAATTTTAGTGTCAGCTGCGATGGAGGGAGGATCAGCGTTGGAACACTGTTAAGGTGAGTTTATGTGGACTGGTCACTGTGCCCTGAATGGGTAAGGTAACAGTGTCTCTTTAACCTGGGTACAATCATTTTCAGTGGAGGGATGTTGAACAAGGAACTCTCTTCAGTAGTCATAATTTTCAGCGGTGTTGTCTAAATTCTTCAATATTTCCCCATCCAGTGCAATAATACCAATGTTATTACCTTTCTCTTCAGTACTGCAACATCCCCTGTAAAGGATCATTGCAAACAGCCTAATGTTGCTAGTTTCCAAACTGCTTTAAGATGTTTCTGAGTTGCACCACTCCATTTTCTGTTTGTCTGCACTGGTATCACGAATCACTGTCCAGAATGCTCAACAATCACTGTCATATATGCTGAAACCACCAGGCTCTTAAGTGGTGGTCAGTAAAGAATGTAGCTCAGATATCATCTTGCTTAAAGTCTAAGAGTGACTGTAATGCCTGCAGTTCTTCAGTTTTTCATGCTAGCCAGCAGTAACATGTAGTACCAGCTAGGCACCTGTCTGTCAGTGTTCACTAGTCTGCTCACAGATGGCATTGTCCATATTTAGTTCCAAACAGCTAGAATGTCTTCTTCATTCACCATTTCAGTTGTCTACCAGTCCTTCTGTACATATTTAGACACCAGCAGATGCCACAAATGCAGTTTACATTGATTTTGTTTCCACCAGGTTATAAATGACACAAGAGATTTTGTTTTGCCTATTTCAGTTTATTGATTGTAATTGTACCAAAAATGGAATGCATTGTTTGTACTACTGCACAATAGACAGATGAACATACAAATATTACTTACAAATAGAAGCTGTAAGACACATGACATGAGACAATATAAAACTATAATGTATGTACTACAGTACCATCAAATCTTTTAAAGATTATCTTTTTTTTAAATGCAATAAATAATATTGGCAATAAAAGATTATGTTTAAGGGTAAGTACATATTTGTGCAGCCCATGCAGAGACTGCGTGAAACCTTTGCACATGGCGAACACAGTATCATCCAAGCATTTGCAATTTCTTTAAAAAGAAACTATAATGGTTCTGAGTCCAAATTTTTTTTTCAATTTTAGTTTCTAGGCTCTTAAACATTGTGTAGCAATGACAAGGGACATAGGGCACAGAGGAAGTTGTTTACTTTTGAATTCTGTGCCTGAATATGTGTACAGAGTCCTGTGAACAGGGAGGGGGTGGGAGAGTCATTCTTTCTACTCTTGCAATTAAACGTAAATTTCAACTTCAGCTTCTGAGGTCTGTAAATAGTTTTTTTTCAGCTGAGAAGCTAATGAGAGCCTGAAAAACATGAACATGAGATGACAGCTGCAGCTACTGGCAGCATACAAAAATAGAAGATATTAGCCTGCAATGTTAAATTTTACCTCACTAATATTAAAAAAGAAATAATTGTAACATGTAATCATTCACTATAAATAAAAAGTAAAAAAAAAAACATATTTTCTTAGTCAGGACCATATAAATATAAAGAAAAAGAGATACCAAATTTGAACCGTATGTTTTTGCAGCACAATAGATAGAAGTGCTACCTTGAAACACACAAATGGTTGATGTGCCCTTTGGACACTGGTCCTGTAAAGAGAACCACTGGCGTACGCCGTCAGAATAAAAAAAAAAATCCACCATAGGAATGCATAGCTAGATTCCTATTGGCTATTTCACTTTGCAATAGCCAATAGCAAACTAGCTATTGCACCCGCACTCTGCTGCTGTCAATCACTAGAAGAGGACCTGATGGAGAACCTCAGGTCCCCCTCTGCTGATTGGCATTAGCAGAAGGCGGGTGCAATAGCTAGTTTGCTATTGGCTATTGCAAAGTGAAATAGCCAATAGGAATCTAGCTATGCATTCCTATGGTGTTTGTTTGTTTTTTTCTGACTAACGTCGGCCAACGGCCCCCGATGTAAAAAAAAAAAGACGATCGCAGGGAAAGGTTTACTGTGCTCTAATAGCAGGAGACTCCTGGGCGACCCCTGGCAAATCGCCATTCGACCCCCGACGGGGTAGCGACCCACAGGTTGAGAACCACTGCTCTAGATGGAGCTGTCTTTTATTCACACAGTGCTGTTGGTGCACATGTACAGAGCCCTAAATATGATCCAAATACATTGCAGAGCTCACAGTTTGTATAAACTGTAGCTTTTACTTTCTTTGCATAGTTAAACATCAAAAATTGGTACAAACAAATCCCTGAATCTTCAGTACATTATAGAATGCTTTGGTGCAACAGAAAACTTTAATCCTGTGTAAAATAGTACAAATTATTGATGTATCAATATGAAGGAACTGTTAAGAGTTAGAGAAAAAAATAAAAGTAGTTAGTTTGTTTAATGATAGCCCTACATTTTTAGTTAAACACGATTTTGCAAGGAAAAAATTAACAATTGACATTGACAATTGATAGATTAGTACTAAGGTGTATATATAAGTAGCTCATAAGGTGCCCACATTATCACAACCAGAAAATGATGAGCCTTTTCCAGGCAACATTCAAACACGCATATCAATCTTTCAGTGAAATGAACTTCAGTATTTATTGTATACGCCATTTTACTGGAATACACAGCAGCTACAGGGGCCTGATGAGACGTTGCCAATGAGTGCATAAGGATGCCATCATTGGCAATAAAATGGCCATGCATAGGACTTTATGATGTTACTGTTTATATTGCCGTTACGCTATTACAAATTTCATCGGCAACTAAAGAACTCCCAATTGGTTATTTTGTATAGAGGTCCTACATTTTTACTCATTTAGACATTTGTAATGTACGTTTTCTATTTTAAATTTTGCTTTTGAAACAAGAATACATTCAATTTAAAATGTCTCTTGTTTTGCTCAAATGTATTTCATTACAGAGCAGCTCAGTGTGGCATTTTAGTGATAAAGGGTTTTAGAATCAGAGTATGTTTTAAGAATGGATCAGAGTTTGCTTCCCATTCACATGCTCAGATGTTCCAACACTGACCTAGGACAGTCATGAAAGGTAAATCTAGGTTTCATGTCCATATTAACAGACATACATTCGGACAACTGGGTATACAGTTAGTTTTTACGCCATTGCTATTTTTTTTATTGCAATGTCCAAAATACAAATGTTTGGCACCCATAAAATATGTGCAAATGCTATATGCAAGAGTAGCTTACTCAGTGTTTTCTTATATCCCAGAGTTAAGAACCAGATTGAAACAAAATTCATTCCTTATTCATATCACTGATCATGCCTCACACTCTGTTGAATATGTCTGTATTAAAGTGAGGTCAGTCTGGGTTTCTTGGCATGGATACACGGTGCATAAAACAAGCTGCCTTTTATAAAGGGCACAGCCAATTCCTGCTTGCTGCATAGTTAATGCTCTTTAAATGTATCAGAGCTCAGTGCTTGTCACAGGAGTAACTCCATGAATGAGCAGTGTGGGTCCCAGGTTTCGGCTTACTGCCTCCACCTGGTTAAGGAACCTGTTGTAGATAGCTCTGTCTGCAGGAGGCCGTGGGAGATACAAGAACCTGACAGCTGGAGGAGCCGTGGGATTCTGCCCCAGAATCATCTGATTCACAGCTTCCAAATAGTCATCTGATATTTTGATAGAGTTGTTTGGGTAATTCAGGTAGACTTCTTCTGCAATGTCTGCAAATTCCGCCTGCTTGTGCCAGTGAAGTGCAACCACTGCGTCCCAAACTACTGTGTGGATGGAGGCCTTGATACGGAGGTCTTTCAGCAGCTGCTTCAGTTTCACCTCTTGGCCACGTAGGCCACTGTCTCTCTCTACACACAGAAACAGACGCAGCTTAGCTTTTTTCCAAGAATGCACCATGTTCAATACACAAGCCATTTGAAGAAGGAATAAGCTGCAGGTGTTCACATAAGTGGCACTGTCTGGTCGCAGGAGGTTCAGAGGCCACACATCAATATAGGTGTCTTTGCCCTTCAAGCTGCAAATATGAGATCTATCAAGCTCTGAGAAATTCCTTGCCAGCACCACATTTTTGGACATCTTTATAGAATCCGATATAATAGCAACGTATTCCCACGAAGAGAAATTCTCAGAAGTTGGCCTCCGGCCTGTTGATGTGTACACAAAAGGAGTAGGTCCTTGCAGCTCCTGGTCATTCCTTACCAGATCCTCCGGTGTGGAGCGACTGTAGAAGCCAAGAATGACAGTGTTTGGCCTCATTCCTCCTGCAACAGGCAGAAATACTCTATTAAAAGTCACGAATAGCATTATATATCTAACGTATGTCTTTCATAACGCTTGCATTCTCTGCACATTGCCATCTGGGTTATTAGAATAAGCAGAAGTTCTGTAATGACTCTATGTGCAGGCACATTCTGAATATATAAGACATACTAAAGATTTCTGAATATTCAGTGATATTGATTAAAGGAGCATTATGTATACAGAAAACAATATTTGTTTAACAAATACCTTCATGCTTTATGCAAATGTTGTGTAATTTTAAGAGGTTTGAAAGCCACTAAACATAACACTAGGAATAAAATAAACACATGATACCAGTGACCATTAAATATACAGTATGCACATATTAGGCAAAATGTTTGTGAAAAATACATATGACTACTTTATTGATTGTGTGATTCTGCATTGCATATTGCAGCTAATCAAGGTCTCCATTTTATCTACAGGAACCGAAATGACAGCATATATTGTCTGCTATAAGGAAGCAGATACTTTCATTTTCTCCTTGATTTTTCATAGCCCAGCTCATTGTCTGGAAATGTATTAAAAAGTATAATATACATTTTAGGCATACTGTTCCTGGTCATATATATACAGATTATCTCTGACTCTTCCATTTTCAGAGGCACATTTATGATGTCAGCCGAGTGACATGTTAGCCTTAGGTCTGAAAGGAATCTTCGGAACAGGATTCCTATTATTCAACATTATTCTCTACAAGTCCACGCTGTTTGTTTTTGTTATATGATTTTATGTTTCACTTCCCGCACGTAAACAAACTCTGCATTTCTTATTTATCTTTTAAAACTTGAATCCACCAGTATTTGAAACAAAAAAAAGTGGCACAGACTATACTGTACATACAAATGAAGATGTTAGTGAAAAGACTGGATTATGGGTGAGGTCTGAATCGCACACTAGGAGGTAAGTGTGCCATAATGTGCAAATTTGCTGTGTGGAATGTAGTTATCCTTTACTTATTAGTCATAGAGCTCTAAGCTTTCATGATCTCTGGGCACAAGAGTTAAAGTTAAGTGCACTATGCTAATTCTGTCCCCAGTTTGCCATAAATCAGCATAGTAGGTAGTTTATATTACCTGACCTGCCCAGGGCCGGGACATTGTTTCCAGTATTAACGCACCCAGTAGTGCTTGGCAATCCAGTGTATGGGTCAGTAAATACCATAGGCATTCCCAAGGTGTAAGCAGTAAGCTGGAATTATGACAATGTACTTATAGGTGTCCTCATTCTTTAAACAGATGAATATGTAATGCTGAAGAAAGACTGTGCAGTGCAGGCTCTTACCTAGTCCAGAGATAAAGAGCAGTTGCTGGGCCCCATACCTAACAGAGTCTGACAGTGTTAGGTTAACAAAAGCCTTGATGTTCAGTTCATCAACCAGCTTAAGCCAGGAGTCTGTCCGTGGCTGCAGAGGGTCAAATGGCAACACATCTACAAAAGAACAAAGAACCAGAAGTCACACACTTATAGCTCTTACTGACAGAGAATGTAAAATCAAAGGGTAACCACTGTAGTAACTTAATATCAGAGGTTGTAGTTATATAGAAAAAATTAAATGCACACATACAGATCTACTGAAGAAAGTAGAAAAAAAATGCACATCCTAGTTTTTGCAAAGCACTGCACACACTGTTGGCACAATATAAATCTTATATATTAAAGAAGAACTCCAGGCATTTAAAATATTAACCCTTGCATTGGGGCTATGCTGCACTGCAAGAGTTAAGCGCTCATTCTGGTCTAGGGGCTAAAATAAAAAAGATATAGTCACCTAGGGATGTTCAGATACCAGTTCAGGTACCAGTGCAGATACTTGGCATTTTCATGAGAACTACCAGGGTGGCAGAAGTTGCAGCTGGGACCTGGCTCTGGCACTTCAACACTGTACTGAAATCATTAGTTTGTGTTGTTTTAGAAAAGCTGTCACATGACAATAAACAAAGATGTATCAGTACTTGTATCTGTGAGTACTTGGACAAGTATCAGGACTTGTACTTGGTCTGGAAAAAATGGTATCGGTACTTCCCTAATATATGTTTCTAAAAAAAAAAAATCATACATTAAAACAGGGATGCACAAATCTCAGGAGCTCCGTATGATCCTTAAGAATGACAGCTGCCTCCCAGCTTTTGAATTTTTCTCTAGTCTAGTCTTGGAGCTGGAAAAGTATCTGTACATGTACTTGTACCGGTACTTGATATCTGAACATCCCTATACTCACCTGATCCTCAGTCACACCTAGCTAGACAAGTCCCTGCAACCTCTTCTCCCCTGGGCTCCGGTGGTCTAAGGATCTGTGATGTCATCAAATCTATGGCAGTGGCATTCCACAGCCGGAGCAGAGTGAGGTGAGCACTCAACGCTGTGGGATCGGGTGAGTATCTTCTTTACTTCAGGACCTAGACCAAAACAAGCGCTCAACCCTCACAGTGCGAGGGGAGTCCCACTGCAAGGGTTAATTTTTAAAATGCCCGGGGGTTCACTAAAATTTTCAGACTGTCAGTTTTTTTTATCACATTGGCTACAAATGCTTGACAATGATAGATTAGCTTCATAAGCAGTTAGAAGGCTACCATGGGATAAGGGACAGAAGTGGTGAAGTGTAAAATAATGCATTGCTCCAAGCCTCCTCCATGGTGTCTTGTACAAGTAGTAACAATAGATTATGCATGTACCGTATTTTGCGGTCCATAAGACGCACCGGACCATAGGACGCAGGGAGGTCCGGCGCGCCTTATGGAGCACTTGACAGACTGTAGCTTCTGACACAGCTTCTATGACAGAAACTGTGACAGAAGCTGCAGTTAGTGACCGCTGAGACAGGTGGCGCTGTGATTACAGCGCCACGGTCTCAGTGATCACACAGAGCAGACGAAGAAAGTCCGTTCTTCGTCTGCTCTATGGTGATCTCCATCGTCGCCGCTGCTCGTTTTTAATACGAGTGATCTCATAAGATCACTCGTATTAAACGAGCAGTGGCTCCTACTGCTGAATACGATCGCCGCCGCCGCTGCTCGGCTTTAATACGAGTGATGTCATTAGATCACTCGTATTAAACGAGCAGTGGCTCCTACTACTCGCCCGGCGCCCGAAACTGAATGTCTCGGGCGTCGGGATTCGCTCCATAAGACGCAGGCACATTTTCCCCCTCCTTTTGGGGGGAAAAAAGTGCGTCTTATGGAGCGAAAAATACGGTATATACTGTATTATTATTATTATTATTATACAGGATTTATATAGCGCCAACAGTTTGCACAGCGCTTTACAAAATGGAGGGAGACAGTACAGTTACAATACAATTAATACAGTAGGGATAGGTGGGCCCTGTTTGTGAGAGCTTACAATCAAGTAGGTATATATATATAAATCTCAAGCCTCTGTAAACATTTGATCTACTATCTCAGCAATACAACTGTATTGCACACTTTTACAGAATAAAGCAGTACTGCTTGAAGAAGCTGATGTCTGTGCTGTACACTATGTGAGAGGGGTCTTGTGATTGCTCCCTATTAAAACTAGAGTTTTTAATGCTTGCTTAAAGTGTGTACAATGCCTAATGAGAACCTAAGTGTGATTGCAAAATGAAAAGCACTTTATGACATACAATCTACCCATTTATTGTTCCATTCAAATTATGCTGCTTATTAACCTTAGATCTCAGTGTCTACCTTACAAGGTCGCTATAGCAACTTGGGAAATCTAAATGTCTTTGAATTCTTTCAGAAATGAGTAGTGTCCAATGTAAAGATTTTCATAAATTAAACACCACTTTGCCCATAGTTAATACATTTATTACATAATTTTCTGTATTACGCTTCTGCTAATATGTGTGTTTGTAAACATACTGTATATATACTGTATATTGTACTGGGAATGTCATGAAAAGTGAACAAAACATGAGCACAAAGCATTTTCTAATTCTCCCACATTCATTCTCCTAGGCGGGGTAACCCGAACGCTAGCTACAGCCTAATTATAACTTTAACCTTTACCATAGTCCTAACCCTACCTTGTATGTGTTCATTAGTAATCATTAAAAGAGAACTATGGGGTAACCTTTTTACTCCGTAGTTCTCTTTAGGGCCACGGGAGGACATATACTAGCGTCCTTCGGTGACCCAAAGCTCTGTAGGATATGAGGGAGGAATCCCTGCGGGGAGTGGTGACTGCCAGTCACCGCTCTCTGCAGGGAGATGATCAGAAAGTGAGCGAGTGACGGTATGTGTTCGCTCACGTTCCGATCTATAGAGTCGATGTATGACAGTTTCATTACCTCATAGTTCTCCTTTAAGGCTGAGCTGAAACAGCAAATGTGTGGCAAATATATTTTGCCACACATTTATTGCAAACTGACGGAAACACTATGAAACCCACCCTCTTATAGTAACCTTTCCCAAGATACCTCACCTTTCTGTTTCTTGGCAGTCCTAACCCTGTATAAGCTCTATGTCTGATGATGTCGGAGCTTACAAGAGTTGATGATTCCACCCCTCCATAATGTGACAGTGTTTGGGCCTTGCAATTGGCCACTCAGGCCTAAGCACTGCATGTTGGGAGGTGGTTACATGCTCATTCACACCTAGAAGGGACCTCTGCTCTGGAGCGGTTCCAGCAGACTACCTCCAGCAGAAAAACAAAGCAGGAAGGGAGTGCAGAAAATAAATGTGAGTATAAGTGGGTCAGAAGATGGGCTTTAAAGATGCCCTGTCACTTTGCCCTAAATAGGCACTGTGAGAAAGCCTTTATACAGTAAGTATCTATGGAGACATTCCTTCCTTTGCTGTGCATTAGGCAGATAAGTCATCAGTCAGAAATGACATGTGGCTGCTTTGTTACATTGACCACCTCTGTACTGACTTCTGCACTGATCTCATTTCTTTGAAAAACCTTTAATTATACAATAGAAAATAGAACAGAGTTTTTAAAACCTGTCCTAATACCAGTGAATATTTTGAACCCTCAGGTGATGTTAGTGTCTCAGCAATGCAGTTTAGCTGCTCCTGTGAACAAAGCCTGACCTGTGGGACTGAGAAAAAGTAATAGGGATCTGAAATAAAGTTACCATTATGCCTACCATACATAAAGTAAAGTAAACCTAGGAAGATTTTTAAACATAGATGTACTTTCCCCTCCAATGTACAGTATATCCCTGTATTCCTATATATACAAGAATCTATCTATTCCTTTACACGTCACATACCTAACTCTTCCAGTCTTACATGGCCCAGCACAAATAGTCCACTTTTCTTCAGATCATTTGCAAAGATGATGAGGTTCTTATGCTTTTCTGGATTGGAGACAAGGAGGAGAATCTGGGGACGCCAGAACTTGACGTGATCCTTTCGTACATCCAGCATGAGAAGATACTTCCGTACCTGGACACAGGAGAACATTGACAGATAGATTGGAAAATATTTAGCAAACAATCAACCAACATAACTTTCTAGAGTTCACCTTAGATTTTTACTTGACTCTTCTGTGTTAAGCCTTACATCTATAAACCCTACCTATGGACCAAGTACAAGTTTATGGACACAAGATACTATAGTGAAAAAAAATTACCTAGCTATCTGACCTTCTTAAAACACCACTAAAATTAACAAAAGCAGATTTATTAAGGCAAAGAAAAATGAACAACCCTAGCCAGGGGTGTAACTAGTGCCGGGCATCTGGGGCACAAGCTCTGCACATCTTTCTGGGTGCACCAGGCACCAACACCGTAAATGGCCACTATTCAAAAAAAATAAATCAGACTCACTG